CTGAGCAATGCCTAAAAAAAAGGGACTTGTAAAAAGTCTCTCTGAGTTCAAAGAAAAAAGGCCTAAAAAAGGTCACAGACAGTTGTGCAGCTCTGACAAAATGCTATTGTCAAATGTCATGTTTGTTTTGCAATAATGAAGCATTTTTTGTGCAAAATATTCAATCCACAATATATTTGTTTAAGAAGCAAGAAAAACACATCCACTCATAACCCCTCATAACCCCTCATAACCCCTCATAACCCCTCATAACCACTCATAACCCCTCATAACCCCTCATAACCCCTCATATTCCTTCATATTCTTACACATGTTTTTGTCGTTAAATCACACAAAAAATGATGGAAGCATTTGTGGCTCAATTGAATGCATTTGTGTTCATCATGGGGCCAAAAAAGAGGCCTGCCAAGGCCATTGATCCACCTAGTTTTGATGAGGATGATGGTGAAGACACAGTGATGAAGAGGCCTTGTAAAAAGGCTTCCTCAGATCATGAAACAGAATCTGTGAAGGGGATCCCTGCCAATGAGTTGGTCAAAAGCCAAATTGGAAAAGAAGATTCTGAAATTGATGAATTTTGGAATAAGTTGAGCAAAAGAGAGCAGCAAAGCCTTTGGAAAAAAAAATTGAATTTCAAAGGCAGCAAGATGGAACTTCAAAAGAGTACCAGGACTTAACCAAAGGCTATGGCAGGAACCAGAAAGCCTTGTCACTCATGAAGGTGTACCTCAAACTGGGATCAACAAAGCACCCTGCATGGGTGCAATCCATGGCCAGCCTGAGGACCAGTGAGAGCTACAAAGAAACTGAAGAATGGATTCCACTTGAGGGTGCCCTGAAAAAGTTTGGCCCCACTGAACTGAAAGCCAGGGTTCAAGCAGGGACTATACAAGTGAGAAAGAGTCCAACCGACAACAGGTTTCCAGAGTTCCTGGATTCACAGCAAGTCTTCTCAAAGAAAACTGAAGTTGAGAAGGCCAGAACTGGTACAATGGATGAAAAGTGTAAGTGGGAGGACTTTGCAGCCTTATCCAAGTTGAAGGTCACTGGCCTCCAGTCTTTGGATTTCCTTGCAGGTAATGATGAAAAAGATGATGATGATTCAGGCAGTGGCCAGGAGGAAGATGCAGTGACACTTGCCACAGGCCTCCTGGACCCCAAAAAGAAGAAACAACATGATGTAGCAAAGCAGGCACTGAAACAATTTGAAACTGCAAGTGCCCTTGCAGAGCAAAAGGGAACAATCCCTGATAAAACCTTGAATGATGCCAAGAAAAAGCTGAGAGCTCATTTAAAGAAAGTGGCCTCCAAACTTCCAGACAATGAACTCAAAGAAGAGGTCCAAAATGTTTTGACTACTTTGGATAGCCTTGAAGGGGCCAGGCTTGGGGTCATCAAGAAGGCCATGAACTCAGCTGCCCTAGTGGGCAAGAGGGCCTTGAAGAGTTTGACTGCCCAGTGAAAGGGCTCCAAATGGCCTTGGCAAAAGGCACCAATAAGAGGCCTTGGAAAAGGGCTTGCTAACTGGCCTTGGAAAAAGGCACAGCCCAAGCACAAACTCCAACTCATCCCCAGTGAAAAAAGAGTTGCTGTCTCTTCACTGCTGTCTCTACACTGGGTTCTTTCATGTGCTGCTTTCAGGACAGCCTTATTTGTTTACCAAAGCAGATTTGTGGCCCAAGCTTCACTTTTCAAAGGTTTAAGGGACCTGGGAAAGGGCCCCAAATGGGTGACCTGAGAAAGGGCACCACACACATGATTGTTTTTGAATCAAAGATGCCATTTGTGAGAGTAACTTTGCAGTTGGATGACACTGAAAATGTTAAAGTGTTCTTTTTTGATTATGTCAAGAACCAAGAGGTTCTGATGTATGATGGCATCTTCAAGCCTGATTGGCCAGCACTGGAAAGGTGCCATGCAGATGCTGAAGAATTCAAAAAGCTGGTCAACTCAGACCCAGTTCTCAGGCTCAAAGTCTTGGGGTGGCTTGTTGTGGAGGGGATGGACATTGTTCATGCTGTAGCTGGAAGAAAAATCGACAATCCTTTAAGAAAGATATCAGGGCAACCATCCAAACTGTAGTGGGGCCCTGCCAAAGGGCTTGTAATGGGCCCTGCCAAAGGGCTTTGGGTTGAACCTTCTCTGTGGAACAAAAGGTGCGCTTTTGCTTGCACAGGGCTGTTGTTTCCACATGACTTTCTTGCTGGTTTTCAACAGGGTAAAGTAGCAGCTCACAGCCTCTCTTCCTTCAGCAAGCCTTTGGCTCGCACTTGGCTTTGCTGTGTGCATTACATTGGGCAGGGCCTTGCCAAAAGGCTCTTGTGTGTACATCACATTGGGCAGGGCCTTGCCAAAAGGCAGACTGCAATTACATCACATTGGGCAGGGTCTTGCCAAAAGACTCTGGGCACATTGAATGCCCAAAAGAACAGATGGCAGAGGTGGAAGACATCAAAAAAAAACAAAGGTTAGAAGGTCAAGAAACTGAAAAGGTATGGCCAAGTTTTGGTGGTTTGTCTCCAATCACCTACAAGCTTCTAGAAAAGTGGAGCTGGGGGAATTCATCAGCCTTGGAGCTGAATGAAATAGCTGGAGCTTGCCTCAACACTTGGCAGGAAGTGCCAGGTGACCTCCAGGCCTTGGCAGCTTGTGGCAGCTTCGGCCACAACCCTGCCAACACCCAGAGAGACTTGTTGAGGCACCCAGCCTTGAAAACTCTCATGGCCCCCAGCCCATATACAGTCCAGGCACATTGTGTGACCCATCATGGGGTGGAACTATGTGACTTGTCAGTATTTTTGCCCCATGACTGGGTAGCCTGCTTGTCACAGAATCAATTGCTAGAGCATTGTATTGGGGCAATGGCAGACTGCAGAACCTTTTGGAAAGGGGTCAACAAGGAGGATCCAAAGCTCCACAGAAACCCCATCCTGATGCAGCAGAAGGAAGTCTTCATGCCACTTGTGGTTCATGCTGATAAAGGCCCCCATTCCAAGGTGGATTCATTACATACCATTACAATGTACTCATTGGCAGCACAGGACAAAAGGCTTGGGTTGGAAGAGAGCAGCTTCTTGCTTTGCAGCATCCCTAACTCTGCTCTTTTGAGCAAGAGCAAGATTGTTGAGTTGGGCCTGAAGGATGTGGAGCCTACAATGGACACTGTTGGCAAAGCACTTGCATGGAGTTTTAACTGCCTCTTCAATGGTAAACACCCCAGGGCAGACCAAAATGGGGTAACATTCCTGTCAAGCGACAGGCAATCTGTGGCTTCAAAGTCAATCTGCACAAATGGCATGAGGTTTATCATATGGGCCACACCTGCAGATTGTGAGCACAACAGCTTGGAGTATGGGCTTCCACACCATGGGGCAAAGCACCCATGTATGCGATGCAGTTGTGACACAAGCATTGCTCCCTGGAATGATTTTGGCCCCAAAGCCAAATGGAGAGGCCTCCTTTACACTCCAGCTGAATTGGCCAAAAAACCACTCACCAACCACTGGCTCCTCAGCATCCAGGGGGGTGAACAGCTTTACCTTTGCATATGACTTTATGCATTGTGCTGATATTGGGTTCTCTGCTTCTGCAGTGGCAAATGTCTTCTATGACATTTGCTACAAGCACTTGGACAAACTGAAAAAGAAAGACAGGATCCAGAAGCTGAACCAATTGGTTACTGAAGCATACATTGCCCTCAATACACCCCATGATGTGAGGGTGAAGCGATTGACTTGGTCATCCTTCACTAATGCAGATGCACCCCACCAGCACTACCCAGGCTTGCTCCACAGTGCCATCAAAGCCAAGCAGGTGGCAAGGCTTGTTCCAGTGGCTGCAAAGCTCTGTAAAGATTTCCATTCTGATACCATTTATTGCAAGCATAGGCTGTATTGCTTACAAAGCCTTGAGAAGCTGTACAACATCACACATAATGCTGCCATGTTCCTGACCAAGCAGGAAATCAAAGATTACCAGGCAGCCACCTCCAGGTTTCTCAGACATTATGAATGCTTGAGCAAGATCAGTGCTGCTTCAACTGAGAAGGTTGGCCAGCCCCTTGGACGATTATATACATGTTGGTAGCTTTCTTTAGCTTTTGCATCTTCTTCTGCTGCACAGATCTCAGGTATCAGTGGAGCCAAATTCCAAAGATGCACTACCAAGAGCACATCTCAGAAGATTGCTGCTTCTTGAACCCAGAAAGGGTCTGGTGCTACCCTGGTGAGCATCTGGTGGGAAATGCTACCAGGTTAGCAAGCGCATGCCTGGCAGGCCTTCCACCATGGCAGGTGAGCACCACTGTCTGCCTGAAGTATCAAATAGGCAAGCACCTCCAACACATGATGGTGTTGTGAGGACCTGAAAAAGGTCTTCTGGGAAAAGTCTTTGAAGATTCCTTGGTTGGAGCTGACAAGGACTTGCAAAAGGTCTTTGAAGCCCTTTGAAGATGTGATGCCCCAAAAAGGTCAAAAACAGACCATTTTCATGGACCAAAATATTGAATTTTTATTTTCAATATTATTGATTTTACAATTGATTTTTCTTATTGAATTGGCACCAAATTCAATATCGCAATATTGAATTCTAATTGGTGATATTGAAAATGCACTTTTTATTGAATTTTTTCAATACAGGATTCTCAGGGTTTCAATGGACAAATCCAAACCTGCTCGACCCCACGCCCTGAGCAGTCCAAAAGATGGAGGCTGCTCGCGTCTTTATGTTCAGATCAAACACAGTGGAAGTGAGATGTTAATCGATCGTCTAAACTGGCTCCGAGTTTCACTTTTTTTTGAGCGTATTTCTTAGTAATCTCTAGCATTAAGCTTGGCAGAGAACCTCAAAACGCAACCTCTGATGATGGTGAGTGGTGGAGGGTGTTGCAAGGCACAAACACGTGAGGAAGGCCAATCATCTGACCGCCACGTGGAGCAATTTCTTTCTAGTTCTTACCATTTCTGTCCATTTTCTCCACCCCTTTCTAAGCAGACTTGGAGGTCTTCAAGCCTGCCAGCTTTTCAGATTAATTTCAATCACTTGGAAAGCTTGCGCAACAAATACATCAACATTGTTTGACATTGTCTAGATATGCAGGCCGTACGTCAAAGAAGTATACCTCAAATCTCACCTGTACTTTGACTCTGGTATATTTCAGGTTCCTGGCTCCCAATCTGTTTCATGCGGTCCAAGGGTTATTTATAACGAGAACGGTGCTGAACACCGATTGCATGGAGGTGGATGGAGGGGCTGTCTATGACATTCACAAGATCAATAGCAAGAGAAGACTTCGCTACTAGGGGCTCCTGGCTTTACTACTAGGAGCAAGAGGACGCTACTAGGAACAAGTGCATCGCTTCTAGTAACAAGTGCCTTACTAGTCGTAACAAAAAGCTATTAGTAACAAGTGCCACGCTAGTAGTAACAGGTGCCACGCTAGTAGTAACAAGGTTCGCTACTAGTAACTAGGGCTGCTACGTGCGAAGAATGTCCGGTGCGCTTTGCTGCGCTTTGCGTGGCTCTACCGGCGGTGGGCCGAGGCGAGCCAAAGAGTGCTCCCTTTCAAGCTCCGGGTGCGGAAAAGCAAACCGAAAGCGAAGAACGTGTCCTTCTTGGAAAAGATACGTACCTAAACAAAAGCCAAAGCTGTGCGGGTTTAGAGTTCACTGCAACTGTTCAACAATTTATTCTTTAGAGATGTGACCAAGTCCTTCTGATTCGACTGTTGGTTTCAAATGTGTTGGACACTCAGCTGTGAATTGCTTTAGTCCATGCCTGACGTGAGCTTAAGCTCTTGATGCCGCCAGAAAGAACCAACATTTTGGGAGCTCGGATTGTCTTGGGACTAGCAACATATTTTAGATCCTAAGTCAGAAAGTGAACAGATCGTCGTAGTTTTAGCAGTTGTCGAGGTTAGATCACAAGATCAGAAGCATACAGAGCTGCCAGAGTGAAGAGTTCTCTTAGTGATCTTTTCCTGACCCCGCAAGCGCAGGAGAGAAAATGAGTGCGCTGAGTTTTCGTGGACCTTCAGGTGACCCATAGGTTTGTTCACAGCTCCTGTTAACTAGCGGTTCGCAAGGCATGAATTGAAGCATGAAACACGATGTTCATTATTAGGGTTTTATGTTTTGGTACTGTTGGAAGCGTCTTATTCAAACAAACCAGTGAGTACATCAAATGCATCGCTGTTGCCGAATTGTTACGTTCTCACGGCGTATTGCGAGTTTATGCCGTTTTCTCGTGGAGGCGCATCCCAAGAGCTCCGGCATTCGAAAGCAGGCGTATCTTTGGCGCCAGTGAGATGGTGGTACAAGGCATACATCACTCAGTAACAGCAAGGGCAAATGCGGATCTTTTGCGCATGAGTTTGCCTTGTTACTCTTCAGCTTGCTTAATTGGGGTAATTAGTGTTTTTCTTTACATGCATCACTCAGTTCCCTGTCGCATGTCAAACATCTCTAAACCGCGGTTCCAAGCAAACACTCTTCACTGCGTGCGAAACATGTTTCCATGTTTCCATGAAGCCACTCGAAACTTTAAAGACAAGCGCTTCTGTTCTTGCAAGGTTCTACAGATCTAGGCATTCCTAGCACGTGTCCCAGATTGGTATATAGACAGTAAAAAACAACCAGGGTCCGTCCCATAGAATTAACTATATTCCTCTGACCTCGCATTTCTGGATTTTCACATGTGCAACAGGTGCGACGCCTCCGGCAAGCTGTGGAGGAAGCCCTGAAGGAGTACCTGGGCGAGGCGAGGGCAAACAGAGAGACGGACGGATCATCAGATGCTCCGCCGTTAGAAATACCCTTTCCTTTTCGCCTTTCCTTTTACAAAAAGGGCATCTATAGGGTATTTCTGCTAGCAGCTACTAGCAGCTAGGTATTTCTTCTTTTTTCCGAACATGTTCGTGCAGCTTTTTGGCGGTGAGACTTTTGCTCGCGGGCCTGACTTAGGAAAGCGAACATGTGGAGATTGCCATCGAAGCCTCTTGGGCAAACGTGAACCCTGCATGTGGCTTGCCAGGAGGCTCAGACTGGATGTGAATCAAGGGTTTTCGTGGAGATGGTTGCATTGTCCTAGATGAGTTGGACATAGCTTTGAGGAATTCATCTTAAAGTGCTTTGTCTCAAGGTTGACTTGTAATTCAAAGCTTGTGCCAAAAAGCCCTGGTGGGTGGACATGGTGAACCGATGGCGTTGAGGAACGGTCCCCACGTCCATCCCTTTGCGGCGCTTTCGGGTGCATACTACGTGGACTGCGGCAACTCGGGCTGAGAGCGCTCGCCCGCGAACCGTATTCGGTCAGTTTGGCTTGGGCAGGAGAGTTGTCATTGACCGAACTTCAAACGATGTCTGTTTTCAGTCATGACCCAGATGACGGTGCTGCCTTGTTGTTGGAAGGATTGTCATCTTGCTGACTTGACATGAGGGTTTTTGGGGCCTATGTGTGGAGAATGGTACCCTCGAAGAGTCACGCTAATGCACATCAGAGTCTGGATCATATCACAGCAGCAACCAGCCCATGCGGCAATCTAGAATATGAATATATAATCTGTTTGAACAGGTTGATGATTAAATCAGTTTGCTTTGACCGTCGCCGTTTTGGACGAGAAGCTCAACGAACTTGAGTCAAAATTGGTGCGAGAGCTTCCACAGGAGCCACTCACCGCCAAGGCAGCAACGCTACGTCCCCAACGCCCTGTTCCATCAACTTGATGGATCCCAGGCGCTGTGCGATCTTTGACACCAGCACGACCACATTTTTGGTCCGTGAATTGGTTGAAGTACTCGCGTGTGGCCTTTGGGTTACTTTGAGCAATAATTCTGGTGGATCTTGCTTGTTCACCCTGAACATTGAGATCTTTCAATCTCAACTTCTAGGCCTTCAGCTCCTATGGCAGCCCTACCTGCAGAGGTGCGATGGGGGAAGTCCGAAGGGATTGGTGCTGAAAAAGGCCATGCGTGCAAGCATGACAGGGTTGAGCCCCATCACCCGATGCAGATTTGTCCAAAGGCATGATGTCCGATGCAGATGCCCAAAGGGTTTTTAATCTTCAATCCCTGTCTTGATCCTCTACGTATAGTTTTTGTGGTTATAGCTGGAGATTCATGAAGAGCATGTTTTCATCCTGGAATTGAGCGCAGAACATATTATGTTGGAGAGAGGTGATCAATAATTGCGAGTTGTAGTCACTGTACTACGGTAGTGTTCAGTCAGGTGTGAATTGTCTCCCCGAAGGAGGTAAGTCTTCTTTTCCTAGCTGAGATAGGTGCGAGACGCTTTGGACTTCGGCATTGTCCGACAGCCCAGCTTTGGGTGAGATCCCATGCAACATCTCAGCTACAGAGCAAGGGAAAACCATGTTGCATTGTTTTTAAGACATGGAGAGCTTTCTTGGGAAGCAAGCGTAGCGTTCCGTGCCACATAGGGAGAAACGAGAGTACAGACTCAGAGACTGAAGGACCTGACTGGTGGCTGAATTGCAACAGTTGTGGGCCCGCCACGTAACAGGTTACATAGAAGATCAGCTGCTCTAGCTCTCAAAGTCCAAAGGAAAAGCAAAAAGACACATAGACTGAAGGACGTAGCCCCGAAATTGCAACGGTTGTGGGCCTGCCACGTAACAGGTTTCATACAAGATCACCTGCCCTGGGTCTCAACGTCTAAAGGAAAAACTCCAGCTTTTTCCCCACATTGTTGTGTGGGGTTCTTGTTTTTTTGCTGCATCTCCACGCTCCTCCTCCTCCCTCCTTCTTCATGTACGCCCTGGCGTCGTCTGGCGTCGTCTGGCGTCGGCTGGGCACCGGCGCAGATTTCGTGGCAGGCGCAGCACTTTGCTGCTTGCCTCTCTCACACAACATCACTCACACAACATCTCTCACACAACATCTCTCACAACAACATCCCACACACAACGTCTCGCACACAACATCACTCACACAACATCTCTCACAACAACATCTCGCACACAACATCACTCACACAACATCCCACACACAACGTCTCGCATACAACATCACTCACACAACATCTCTCACAACAACATCTCACACACAACATCACTCACACAACATCCCACACACAACATCACTCACACAACATCTCCAACACGCCCGCTGCTTGCCAAGGGGTCGGATGCCAAGGGGTCGGATGTACGCCCTGGCGTCGTCTGGCGTCGGCTGGGCACCGGCGCAGATTTCGTGGCAGGCGCAGCACTTTGCTGCTTGCCAAGGGGTCGGATGTACGCCCTGGCATCGTCTGGCGTCGTCTGGCGTCGGCTGGGCACCGGCGCAGATTTCGTGGCAGGCGCAGCACTTTGCTGCTTGCCAAGGGGTCGGATGTACGCCCTGGCGTCGTCTGGCGTCGGCTGGGCACCGGCGCAGATTTCGTGGCAGGCGCAGCGCTTTGTGAACCTCCATGTGCAGATTTCGTGGCAGGCACAGCATCTGTGGAGCTGGAAGCTGAGAACTGGCGACTTTGTAGTACAACTTTAGTACGCGGAGTATCTGCGGGGCTGGAAGATGAGAACTGACGACTTTGTAGTACAACTTTAGTACGCGGAGCAATCTGTGGAGCTGGAAGATGAGAACTGGCGACTTTGTAGTGCAACTTTAGTACGCGGAGCAATCTGTGGAGCTGGAAGCTGAGAACTGGCGACTTTGTAGTACAACTTTAGTACGCGGAGTATCTGGGGAGCTGGAAGATGAGAACTGGCGACTTTGTAGTACAACTTTAGATTTCGTGGCAGGCGCAGTACTTTGTGAACCTCCACGCGCAGATTTCGTGGCAGGCGCAGCACTTTGTAAACCTCCATGCGCAGATTTCGTGGCAGGCACAGCACTTTGTGAACCTCCATGCGCAGATTTCGTGGCAGGCACAGCACTGTGTGAACCTCCATGCGCAGATATCGTGGCAGGCGCAGCACTGTGTGAACCTCCATGTGCAGATTTCGTGGCAAGCACAGCACTGTGTGAACCTCGCGGTGCAGATTTCATGGCAGGCACAGCCCTTTGTGAACCTCCATGCGCAGATGCCGTGGCAGGCACAGCACTTTGTGAACCTCCATGTGCAGATTTCGTGGCAGGCACAGCACTTTGTGAACCTCCATGTGCAGATTTCGTGCCAGGCACGCAGCATCTGTGGAGCTGGAAGCTGAGAACTGGCGACTTTGTAGTACAACTTTAGTGCGCAGAGAATCTGCGGAGCTGGAAGATGAGAACTGGCGACTTTGTAGTACAACTT